GCTACATTTAAGAAAAGACTGTCTAGTGCCAGAAAAGTATGTATTGGGACTGATCTGTGGACTAAACAGGGACTGACAGCATCATACCTTGGCATAAGTTGCTGCTTTTTCTGTGTTGAACAACAAAAACCAGAACACTTACTGCTAGCTCTTGAACAACTTGACCATCCACACACCGCCCAGTCCATTAAGGCTTGTGTGGAAAAGTGCATGCAAGAATGGGGGATCCTAAATGAGAAAGTTATCACCGTAATAATAGACAATTGTAGCAATATGGTGGCAGCATTCAAACATAGTGCTCCAGAAGATGAAGATTCCAGCTCCGATGATCCAGATGCATCCATCCTAAGTGAAAGTGATTCCAAGGTGACAGAAAACCTGCAGTGTCAGGACATGGGCATGGACAGGATGCCATGTGTCGTCCATACGCTGCAGCTTGTTGTCCACATAATAAACAAGGAGGAAAGCATCAACAGAGTCTTGAACAAAGTCCGATCAATCGTGAAACTTTTTCGCAAGTCATCAGTCGCAACACAGAAGATTTTGGATGAGTGCGGCCTAACTGTTGTGAATGACTGCCCCACACGCCGGTCAAGTACTTATGAAATGGTTGCACGTCTCCTCAAAGTTAAAGAATCTGTTTGTGAAGTAGCAAACGAGATGGGATGGGACTGCTTGCTCTCAAGTGAGTGGCAGAAGCTGAAGTCAATGCAAGAACTTTTGCAGCCTTTTGCTGAACACACACAAACTCTTCAGAGTGACACAATGTCTATGTCATTAACACTCCCTGCTCTCTTTGATTTACTCAGCCATCTGGCAGATGTGGAACAAAACACAAGTCGAGATGTTGCTGCTCTAGCACGTAAAATGGAAGGGAATGTGAACCAGCGTTTTGCCTGGGTACTTGATCCCTCAGATGACAAGTTTTCCCCACTTGTAGCAGCTGCTTGCTTTCTCAATCCTACTGTGTGTCAGACCCTCCTCAATGTGGCTGATGATAACATTCAGGAGCTGCTCAAGCAGGCAGAAGGGTATGTTGTTCGGTGCTCTCAGACACAGGAGAACCACTCTGATCTGGAGGAACTGAATGGACCTGAACCGGCACCACCCGCCGCCGCCTCCTCTTCATCATCTGCCTCCTCCTCCTCCAGACAACCAGTCTTTAGGTTTCTCTCCAAATTCGGAACAAAGCCTAAACCAAAATCTTCCAAGTGTAGTGTTAGACAGCAGATAAGCCAGTATAAGGAAGAGCTCTCACAGTCCATCACTTGTGAAACGGGAATGGAGTTTTGGCTTGGAAAATGTGACACATTTTATCGCAGCCTGAAATCATTAGCATTAGATATATTGGCAATGCCAGCTTCTCAATCTTTTGCAGAAAGAGTGTTCAGTATCACAGGTGACCTCACTAGAGGGAAACGCAACCGAGCAATTTGGTCACACTTGCACGAAGTGCTTTTCTCAAAATGAATCGCAGCAAATAAATATTCACACTGTTTGGTTGAGCCAGTGTTCTAACAAGTGAATATCTACAGACTCAGGGTTAACATGTTTAAATTTGCTGTTCTTGTAAATTCTTGTTGTGCAATTGCTAAAAAGAGCACCTTTGTAATTTCCACTGTGCTTTTTGTTTTTTTATTAAACACGTAAGTGTTAAACATGTGAAGTGGTTTTTTTATTCAAATATTCTATGTTCTTAGCTGTGTGTGCTATATCTGATCAGTGGTGGTTAAGAGTTTGGACCCTGTGTATTAAATTACACTAGTTTTTCCGTGCTCTATACAAAAGTAGGAAATTACTTCATTAGAAAAAATATATGCATTTTGTTGACTAAAATTGCTTATTTTTATCGACTAAAATTACTTGTTATTTTCGTCGACTAAAATGGGACTAAAACTAAAATAAATCCAATGACTAAAATTGGACTAAGACTAAAATTAATTTTTAGCCAAAAGACTAAGACTAAAATAAAATTAAAATTTCCTGTCAAAATTAACACTGGTCCCAGGAGTCTTGAATTAACTTGATATTGTGTTACGCGTTACCATGGTAACGTGCTTAGCAACAACATTTAAGAACAATTTAGACACAACTGTATAAACATACTTTAATATAGAAATGTTATTCAAAGTTTAAGAGTAATGTGACATTGTGCATTGCTTTATTAAAGTAGACTCCTGTCATTTGTTTCCATGGAAAAACAAGGAACTACAAATCACTTTAACCAAGTCTCATAGGAATGAATATAAAAGCTGAATATTGAGCCAATAACAGACTCCTGTTTTTGATCTTTTTGAACTAACTGTACTTAAAACCAGAGCCGGATCAACGCAAAGGCAAAGTAGATACGTGCCAAGGACCTGATTGGCTGGATGGGGCCCAGACAGAGGGACAAAATAAAAAATTAATTAATTGAAAATTAAATGTACAAATATTCTATGATAGAATTTGTGGATAGGACTCCTATCTACAATTTATTTCAATATTTATTAATTAACTAAAAATAGTGACAATGTTTATCTTAACCACAAACTGTTAAATTAGCTACATCACATTAACGCCAGCCCATGACTGTAGCCTACAACTTGGGCGCTACCCAATTAAGGACGTCAGAGAAGCGGTCAGAGTCAGAGAGAGCAGGACACAACAAAGCTAGCAGGTGTTTCTGAGTAGGCTAAATTTCACGATGTTTTCAAGTGCAGCAAAACGTAAAAACATTAATAAATGAAGAGGAACAAAAGAAGGGACAGCGGGGGGCTTTACAGAAGTTTCTGTCGGGCTGCTCGGGCAGCCGTCTGACAGCTGTGAACCTGCTCGAGTCAGCAGAGCCAGAGGCCGGGCCTGAGCCAGACCCGGAAGATGACACGGTCCGAAGACGCTGTGGAAGACGCTGTGGGAAATGCGGCGGGAGACGCTGTAGCGCCAACGCCATCAACATCAACGCTGTCACAGAAGGACGAACTGGAAGAACAGCAGCCAGCCAGAAGTGAGCCCAATATAGTCTTACAGGAGCCAGACCCAGAAAGGGTATTAACAACTAGCTACCCATTTGATCCTGCAAAGTGGTACCAAACTGATGACACGATGCGTGAGTACTTTGCACTAAACCATCCCTCTCAAAATATTGGATATTCCTCTGCATCACAGAGGAAATCTGGAGACATAAACCGAAGCTTAACCAAGGAACATTTCTTTAGACGTGTTTCTGCTGTGACTGAGGCCTGTGAAAGCTGAAGATTATCCCGGAGTGGAGAATGCTAAATGGTTTCCTTGGTAAGTGTTGCTGGTTTTATTAAATTTTATTTTAAAATATTTTTATTAATGTTCAAATAGCAAAACAATAAGTTCACACTCAGAAAATTGACACAGAATTTCTGATTCAGCAGAGGCAACAACAGCCTGAATGAGCATAAAGCAAGATCAAAACTTAAGATAACGTTTTCATTTTATTAAAATACTTTCTTTTAAGATTATAGATTGTATTAAATTTATACTGTAAAAATTTAGGCTGCGTGTTTATAGTTTGTTTTTGCGCCTTTAAAACATGCTTCAGTCCATTCAAATTAATCTATTTATTCTTGAACGTCTTTCCACCATCATGTGATTAATCTGTCAGCATTTATAAATGTTGTAAGCTATTGGTATTTTGCAGAAAATCTTTTTAATTAAATGCAGTGATTAAATTTAAGCAGAGCAAATAAGATAAACATATTTGCTCTGTTTACATACCGTAAATCCTCTAATACAGGCCCGGGCCTGTATTTGACTCAAGCTCATCAAGCTCCAGGCCTTTGTTGGAAGGAGGACCAGAATTAGAGGCAGGCCTCTATTTCTATTTGAGCAAAATGAACTAATGGTTCGTTGGAGTTTTTGACAATTAAAATTGCGCCCACATTTTCAAAGTTAAACACATTTCTTTTAACAACGGTAGTTTCTGCTTCAGCCCTCTCCCCCCTCCCCCTGCTTCAGCCATCTCCCCCCTCCCCCTGCGCAGCGGCCACAAACTCACTGATGCACCTGCAGCCTCTCGGAGTTCCTGCTGCTCTAAACATTAAAATAATTATCTCATTTTCTGTTCCTCACTTCTGATTACCTTCAATGGTGTCTGTTTGTTGCAACCACCAGGTACAAAAACTAACTTGTTTTTATTTGAGTATTTTTCTGTCCTGCCTGTTTATTATCTTCCTGCATCTCCTCTCAATCCTAAAGAAAAACTGTTACCTGGGTTCATATATATTCACCTCATGAGTTACCTTTGAACTGCAGTTCTAAAAGATCTACCGACCACAAAAACAGCGGAGTGCTCGCTGCTTGGCGGTCGCATCAGTGATTGTGCGTCACCGGAGGACAAGGTGATGCGCCCCGCTCCACAGCAGAGAAACGCATCAGGCGCAAATAAAAGAATAAAAGACAGAAAACATGAAAGGAAATGAGCCGACATGAACGATCACGTGTTAAATCAGTGACACCTGATTTGATAATGTTACTGTGGCCGTGTTCAGGACACAGACGTCTGGAGCGCGTCAACATTCAGAGCTTTGCATGCGCAAGCTGGTTAAGGTTAGGATGGGGGTGAGGGGAAGGTTAAATTGCAAGAGGGTAAAGTTCACAATTTGGTTAAATGTCCGTTTTACGGCGGGTGTTAGTACCGACGCTCTGGCACAGCGCGTTGCCTCCCGACGCTCAGGAGCTTGTCACCTGCTGACAGCAGGCTGCTGTCTTTTCCGAGGGCTGCATCTTGCCGGTAATTATCACGTGACAGCGACTAGTCGATGACAGGCATAAAAAGTCACTATAGAGCGGTGAAGTCGACTAGTGACTAGTTCATACAACCCCTACTGCTCCCCAGTGTTCCGCAGCATAATCAGCACGTTCTCTTTGAACTTGATATCAAATTTTTGCCTCCTCTTCGTCTCCACACCTGACAAATCGCAGTCTGTCACTGGCAAATCAAAAGTGAGACGGATGCCTGCCCCCCCCCCCCCCCACCCCCGTGGTACTTGCTTGTTATCACATTCCACCCGGCCACAATAAAATACCGGCCATTATTCACCTCCGCCGACTCCGACACCGGCCAAAGTATGATACCCGGCCGTTAATTGAATACAGGCTAATATTAGAGGATTTACGGTAGTTTAATGACACCTAGTGGTTATTTACTGGTACTACCGCCTTGACAATGACGCTCCCAGTAGATGAGATGAGGACAATTTTTTAACATTTAATACAGCTGTGTAATGACGTATAAATTATTAATATCAAAAAATTGTCTGATAGAATGTTTAACATACAACACATGACTTATTTTGGCATACAAACAACCAATTTGTAACCAAAGACCAGGCTATGTAAAATGTGAATGAACTTTTAATAATAATAATAATAATGATACATTTTATTTAAAAGCGCCTTTCTGGTCACTCAAGGACACTCTACAGAATAAAAACACAAATCATTCAGTAAGTTTACATACGTAAACATGAACAGACAAGGCACTCTAAAATTCAAAGCTGATATGGGGTTATCAAATCAAAATTTATTTATGAAGCGCTTTCCATGCAAATGCAGCTCAAAGCGCTTTACAATATTAAAAACAACCAGACAGCAGTCGGTTTCCCACCCCTCCCACACAGATTCACATTAGAGATCCCCTTTGTTTCTCCCTCCTCCCACCCTCAATCCCGTCCCAAGCAGATTCAAAACCCCGCACGCACGCACACGCGCGCACACACACACACACACACCACTCGCACACACGCACATGCACACACATAATAAAGAAAGGGCAGCTGGCTGAATGCAGATGTAATATATATAAAGAAGACGAAAACGCCATCAAAGGAGCCAACTGCACCGGGAGCACCAAGACTGGCAGCAATAGCCTTGGTAAGAGTAGGCAAATGAAGCACCCCGGCAACCACAGTCCACCGCTGCCCCCCGGGGCAGCCGGCCTCCACAGAGAAAACACTAGTTTACTAATGACACAAAGATAACAGTTAAGAAACAAATTAAACATAAACAGCTGATAAATAAAAATCAAAATAAAACACAGTGATAAAAGATGACCAAGTAGAAACGTATAATTACATTTATAAAATATAGTACCACAAAGTATTAAGACTGGTTAAAACTAATAATTATTACAAGTTAAAATAAATATGTTAGAAAATATGTGTTATTTAATTGAGTAGTAAGTAATAAAACACTGATAAAATATATGTTAAAAATACACAAATAAATAAATAAAAAGGTAAAAACTGGCTAAAATAGATCACAATCACTTAAAAGCTATACTAAAAAGTAGTGGTGTGCATCTCTACCTTACTCACAATTCGATCCGATTCCGATTATCTGCCTAACGATTCGAATTGAGTCTGAAATGCATCACGATTCTTCACACAAAAATTTTCATTACTTAATAAAAGCAGTAGAATAGTTTTCAATTTCTTTTTGATTTCGAAATCCCTGAAAAACAGAACATTCATCTATTCACTATAGTGAGCAATAATTTTTAAAGTGTGCTGCCTATAATTACTTAAATAATATTAGAAATAACGTTTTCGGTAGAGCAGCTTTAAGATAGAATATCACTGAACTTAAAAATAGTAAACAAATACTGTGTTAAGTGATTCTTTCACATCCAGGATCCCAAAACCGAAATTAGCCCAGACATCCGATTTAAATGTAACGGGTACATCTTTGATTACTGGTAATGTTGGCCCTGTATCCCTGTCCGCCTTTTCTGTTTTAAATTGGCGCTAGGGCAATGCAGTGCGCATGTCATTGCAACTCTGCCCCCAGAAGTAATTGTAAAACCTCAAAACTTCATTGTCCTGCATAGACATAGACCAGGGGTCGGCAACCTGTTCCCATCAAAGAGCCATTATGACCCGTTTCCCACAGTAAAGAAAACACTGGGAGCCACAGCAGCCGTGGCGTTGTGGGTGGGGCCTACCCTCAGACAGCAGAGCGCTGCTCACAACAGGTGATGCATTTCAGACTCAAATCGAATCGTTGGGCAGATAATCGGAATTGGATCGAATCGTGAGGCAGGTAGAGATGCACACCACTAGTCGCTCGTGTACGTCAAAGTTATCTTTCATAAGAAGATAATCAATAAAACGATTTATATAAAGTGGATCCAGAAGTTGTAGCCCGTCTCTGCCTACAATATTTTGATATTTTTCACCCTGTTGGTGGTTTTACTGAGCAGGTGCCACTTTTGTCATACGTTTCTTTTTATAACATGATTAGACTGTTCAGAATACAAATCCAGGCTCTGTCACGTTTGATTGTTGTAATTAAACTTTGCAGGTGGGGAAGGTCAGAAAAGGATCCGATCATTTTGTTTTTCCCTCATTTACAGCGACGGAGACAATGGCGCAGTGCGCCTGGCTCTGGTGGTAATCAAGTTCAATTATATCTCTTTGCAACAATTTTCACAAGAAAACAGAACAGTTAAAAGCAGGGCTTGTGTTGTGTTGACCGGATAGTTCCCGTATTTGACCGTTTATTTTGACGGAGAAAGAATAGAAAGAATTACCCCGACGCATGCAGACGAACTGACGTTTTATTCGTTACGCACATCGCAGATGTAGCTAAATCACTTAAGAAATGATTCCCATCTGAACATCTGAGCTGGACACTGCTCAGCGCAGCTCACTGTCAGCCTGTACTACATAAGGTGTACAGCGAGCTGAAGATGTGGAGAGGGGCTTGGAGCGCGTCGCAGAACCAGAGCGCATGCAGGAAGATTCCTCCGACTGAAGCGAGACTTGTCACTTAGAAAATGTTCCCTGATTATGAAACTTTGACTGAATAGTGCTTGTTCCTGTCTCCAATGTGGCGACACATCCAGGAGCCGTCTGAGGATGATCCTCTCCAGCTCAGAATGCGCCGATATGATTACACACAAGCGTGACCCGTCAACCCGGTCTCACAGTAAGACCGGGTTGGAACTGTTCAGGTTTACGCCGACAATCTTTACATTTAGAATTGGCATACAGATGTAGAATTAATGCAGTAAAATATAAAGCATTTTATTTAAATATCCATTCATTATTTTACAAGCACAGAGAGCCGCATCAGATGGATGGAAGAGCCGCATGCGGCTCCAGAGCCGCGGATTGCCGACCCCCGACATAGACATAGGGAGAAAATCTCATTATGTCACGTTGCTGCATCGATGCGGAATCATGCACGGCTGAATCGTGATGCATCTTAGAATCGCCTTAAGCCTAATCAAGGAAAGGATAAGAAACGTCATAACTAGGGTTGAGCGAGTACACCACTATCTGTATCTGTATCTGTTCAACCAACTAAATGATCTGTATCTGTACTCGGAATGGGCGTGGCATAACCCGGAAGAGGGCGTGGATTAACCGGAAGTGGGTGTGGTTTACATCAATACATTATTTTAAGTCTGAAATTGATATGGAATGATCAGAAGTTGATATGTGTATTGTTTATTTGAAAACTATTTACAGAGCAGTCTCAGAATTGAGATTAAATGTTTTTGATCACAATAGTAAAGAAACTATTACAGAACAAGTTTTTCAATAAAATCAGAACATTAATATTTAAGTGCATGGATTAATACATCTGAACTCATGCAGTAGGAACTAGGAAATATGAAATGCTAGAACCAGACACAACTTTATATATATATATATATTTTTTTATTTTAATTTGATTAATCTGATTTTTTTCTTAACGTTCTTGGCATTTTGCCCCACACAAAGTTAAACAAAACAATGTTGGTTAAGGTGTGTGTGTGTCTGAGAGAGACAGAGAGGGTGAGAGGGAGAGAGATGGAGTTAAAAAATAAATAACCCGACTGGAGCGGAGGTAGTGAATGCAGCACGTCAGTCTTGTCAAATGCACCATGTACAGTGCTTTAAAAGACTTTACACAAAAGAAAAACCTCACAGCAGATGACATAGCACAACTGATAGGACTGGTAGCTAACTCCACTTACTTCACATACAATGACATAATATACAAACAACTGGAAGGCTTCGCCATGGGTAACCCGTTATCAGCCACCCTGTGCCAGTTTTTCATGGAAGACTTAGAACAAAAAGCCATAGCCACTGCCCCCCAAACTGCAAAATAAAATTATGGAAACGCTACGTAGACGACATACTGGAAATCATACCAAAAGGTCAAACACTAACACAACAATATTGACGACACGGGCAACATAAAGTTCACTTATGAGTCAGAAACAGAAGGCAGTATAGCATTTAAGGATATGAAAATCACCAGGCAGACCGACAGGACCCTAAACATAAACACATACAGGAAACCAACACACACAGACCAATATCTATTATGGACATCAGAACACCCCACCATACACAAAATGTCAGTAATCAGAACATTATATCACCGAGCAAACATAATAACAGAAGATAGAGACTGTAAACAAGAGCACAAACACATACAACATGCTTTAAAGACCTGCAGATACCCGGCAATAAACAAAGGAAAACAACAAACAACAACAGAAAGAAAAAGAACAACCTAAGCAAAGAACCAGAAACCCAGAAAGACAAGAATCAAAACCAGTGATAACCTTACCATACATTAAAGGCATAACAGAAAAAATAAGAGCAACAATGAAAAAAACAACATAAACACACCAACAAAACCATACACAACAGTTAGAAACAGACTAGTGGACCCAAAAGACAAAATATCAGCTGGACTTAAATGTGGAGTTGTTTACGAAATCCCATGCAAACTCTGCAATAAAACATACATAGGAGAAACCGGACGCCAACTCAACACACAAACAATAGAACATAGAAAGGAGTGTGAGAAAGAAACAAGTCGAAAACACACAAGAGCAGCAAAACAAGAAGCAGAAAGCACAATAAAGAAGTCAGCCGTAACAGATCACTGCACAAGAGAAAACCATTTAATGGACTGGGACAACACAAGGATCATAAACACCGAACAGGAAAAAATACAAAAGATGGATAAAAGAAGCAATCGAGATAAGGAGACGTGGATGTGGGACCATGAACTGGGACGGTGGCATTTACAAGTTGGACCGCGCATGGGACTGCATCGTCGGAGAGGGGAGAGCGGGCAGCAGAAGGCGACAACATCCTCTGCTGCCCGCGGATAAACGGAGAAGGAAGTGACTCCACCATCAGCGTCAGCCTGAGGAAGTTTGCAGCCGCAAACGAAACGTAGCGGGAAAACAGGTAAATAAAACTGCTCTGTGTTTTAAAAAATAACTATAGCATGGAATTAGAGGTCAATCATTTCCTGGCTAAATGGACTTACACACCCACACATGTGGGTGTAGAGTTCGACTACATACTAGAATCAGCACTGTTGCTATTCAGTTGTAGATTCTGAGAATGACCAAGCAGATTAACCTATGAGGCTTATATCGTGTATAAATATCCCAGATACTTATATAATTGATCTAAGTTCATACACCAACCTGTTTGGTCTATTTTTAATCCAAAGATTAATGTTTAATTTAAGATAATTAAATTTAAAAGCAAAAGTTTATTTTTGAATCAGAAGTCTTTGCTTTTTCAATAACCAGAAATAATTATACCTTTCTGTGTTTCATTTCAAAGAATGAGGCAAGTTTAAAAATGAAAAATTTTATTACTAACAATTTTTAAACTTTACGATTTGAATGACAATTAGAATGACAATTAATGGATGACAATTTAATGACAATCTTTTATCAGCTTTGATATTAAACTTGTATTAAAAGGCAAACCTGTGACTGAATGAAGGCTAAATTGGAAATACGAGTTTGGATGCGTAAATGGATTTCTCAGACAGTTTCTTTCAGAGAGAGGAACGCGTTCTGGGCTGGGAATGATGTTTTGCAGCTAACTGAGTTTACTTAGAGAAAAGAGCATCAAACACATTCCTGTGTGCTACCTCACCCAACAGGAGACCCTCTTTGTAGATCCGGAGATCAAGGAGGCTGTTGTCCACCTCAGGGTACTCGGTCTGGTAGAGAAAACGCGAGTGAACCGATCCTCTGGTCCAGAGATGTCGCCGGGTACACAGTGTCGAGCGTTTGGCTTAACTCTGAAGGAGTTTCTCGTCTTAACTTAACTCAAAAATCAATAACTCTGGAAGGAGGTTTTGCGTCAGCTGGCTACAGTTACGTTTATTCAAAGCTTATTCTATCAGCGTGACAGAACAGCAGGTGAAGGTTAGGGACGGCCGTTCCCTGATCCTCCAGTGATGGTGGTGGGTTCATGAACTGGACGTGAAAGCTGGTGGAAGTTAGTTTTACAAAGTCCTCAGAACACACCCAGTCTCAGCAAGAAAGCTTTGGTCATGCGTCAAAAACATGTGTTGGCAGTTACCCTTACTCTGGATCAGTTCTGTGTTAGATTGATAAGGTGGAAGCTGACCTTCTGATTTGCTGAACACACATTACTGTCATCAACCATAGTAATCATTATTATACCCAAAGCATAATAATTCATTTCATGTAATTAAAATAAATTTATACTGAACCAAGTGATTATTTATGATGATTATCATAAAAAGTAATAAAGTCAAAGAGTTTATTAATATTATTATTTAATTATTATCGTGAACTTGAAGTGTCCTTCTTCTGGGACGGAACAGCAGCAGATAACGATGATATGTTCTTCAGACATCATGACTCCTGGTTTAATCTGTGGACTTAAAAGTTACTGTCTGACCCAGCTTGACCCGCTGGGTAAATGTGACTGCCACAAATTAGAGAACCTTCATCATGCTTAATAGGACATCAAATCGATCGGCTTGGCCTAAGGAATTCATCCATCCACATATAAATCCATACATGCTTCTATCCATCCATCCATCCATCCATCTAACATCCATCCAACAATCCATCTGTCATTTCATTCATCCAACCATTCATCCATCCCATATCAAGTCTGAACATATGTTAATCTATCAGTTTCAGATATCAGCAAATATTTCTAAATTCACAGTTCAGCCAGTTGTAAAAATGTACCCATTAAACTATTCTCATTCAAATGCCAGCTGTTTAACATTTCAAATTTCGAGTTTTTCATTAATGTTCAAAGATTAAAGTTTTCTGCTGTTTAGCATTTTTTGTTCATTCTTCACCTTTATTCTGAGCTTTATTACACTTGTTGGTGATTTTTGCTTCTAAATCTTTAAATACATTCAGCTCATTTTGACAGTTTAGCTTAGTTTCAGCTTCACTTCAGCTATTCAGCAGCTTCAGCAATAAATTTCTGAATTCAGCATATGCTGCTAATTTCACAGTTCAGCTAAATGTAAAAATTAAACTGTTTAACTAGTCCGACTTAAATAACATGTGTTTAGACAGTTTTTTAAACAATGTTCGTATATTTCAGTTTTCTGCTGTTTAGGATTGGTTTTCTTGATTCTTCACTTACTTTTTGTGCTTTATTTGCTTGTTGGTGGTGCTTTTTGCTTTCAGATCTTTCACTATTCATCTCATTTGCCAGTTTAACTTAGTGTAACATGATGAAGGAGCTATTCCACCAAGGTTATTTAACCTTTCTCCACAGATGCCTCTGACACAGTGCTCGAGTGCATGAGACAGCCTCAAGGTCATGCATTTGCTTCTAAACTGTTTACTTTCCAGCAAGAGAAGAAAGAAGATTAAAAGACTCTTTTCTTTTATTAAATCAAAGAGCTCTATTTTTAATAAAGCTAATCAAAACAAGTGTTAGTCAATAATATAATGTTGACCAATCTGTGAAATAACAATGTTATGATTAATTTGTTTTAATAAGTAAATGACTTTAATCTAGTTCACTAGACACCCTGATACACGTAATGTAAACGCATGACACATTGCTGTTACTGATCCAATCAGAACCTTCCTAGTCTGAAGCATGGCATAGTCTCTGTGGTGTTTATAAATCTGCCAACTTTGATTCGACCAGAAATCAAAACATAGAGATTAACAAAACCAGTTCCAACGCCATCTTAGTTCAGTTCTCAAGATCTCACTGAAGTTCACCGCATGCTAAGCGAAGTATCGGACCGGCCATCCGGACTTCCCTTTTTAAACTGAGAACCAACAAGCTGGAAAAATCTGTTGCATTTCACCAACCAAGCAACGGTTCCTTTCAGAATAAAAGCTGAACTCACTGACCTAAGGAGGGTCCCTTTTGACGCTGTGAACCACCTGTTCACCACGCTTTTTACCTTGAGACAATCCAAGGACTAGTCTGTCGTACTGTCGACGCTGTTCCATCGGCTCCAGTACCAGAGGAGGGTCCGTTGGACCTGGCACTCCGGATCTGTATGGAATTCTAATTGAGGGTATGTGTGGATGCAACAAATATGGCGTCTCATGTGTTTATGAAACTCCGATCAAACTCTGATCATAATTAGAAGCAAAACATTACATCACTCAGACTTGCTTCTCCGGATACGAGAGTTCCGATAATAACACCACTCACACACACCATCCACCTCACGTCTCATTCATACCAGATACATCCATCATCAGTTAGAGTTAGTTGTTTAAAATTGTTTAAATTATTTAGTAATAAATCATATTGAACATTTAAAGGACTCTCTCTCTTCTCTAGTCTCTCAGTTAATACAAAGTGTACATAATCCCTACAATAAAAAGTTCCAATCTTCTGGTTAAATAACTCAGTGGTCCGTAAGATTGATTTCATACCCGATATGCAATCTTAATGCCTCACGGTCCTTAATTAGATGTAAATTAACTTCATTACATTAGTTTCAGCTTCACTTCAGCTAATCAACAACTTCACCAATCAGTTACCAAATTTAGCATAAGCTGCTAATTTCACAGTTCCGCTAAATGTAAAGATTAAACTGTTAAACTTGTCCAACTGAAATAACAGGTGTTTAGACAATTTAGCTGTCAAGATTTTTATACAATGTTCACAGATTTCAGTTTGTTGCTATTTTTTTGAATGCTATAAAGCATGTGTGTGTGTGTGTGTGTGTGTGTATGTTGGTGTGGGCGTGTGTGTGTGTGTGTGTGCATGTGTGTGTGTGTGTGTTGTTTATGTTTTCTTGTGTGTGTGTGTCCGTGTGTGTGTGTGTGTGCCTGCTCTGTCTTCTCAATCCCCAGTGAGTCGTGGTTGATGGCTGCTTATACTGATCCTCTAGAGGTTTCTTCCTGTTAAAAGCAAGCCCCCACAATGCGGCTCTGAAACTGGGCCCAACTCGGAAGTAGCATAAATTGCAGTTCCACCCTCATCCACTAGGGGCTGGTGTCAGAAGCGAGCAAATCCTCATTGACTCCCATGTTAAAAATACCAATTTCACAGCAGAAATAAACATGTTTACAGCCTGGTACCAAAACATGTTTTAGGTTTAAATGATCTAGTTTACACTCATGACAACTCTGAGGGGGGTGAATATTTTTTCTCACTCTTCTGTTTAAGTGTATTAAAAGCCTAAAATTCTGAATAATTAATGAGCATCAGACCCACGTGACCGCAGAGCTAGCTCCGTGGAAAGGCCTCAGTAGAGCCTCGGTCTGGCTTGGAAACTGCTCTCTGTGTTTGTGTATTCTTTTTTGGATATTTTTGTGCAATTGTTGGACAAAATGACTTGCTGTGGTGTTGCCAGTCCCCACATGCCAAAGACAGTGGCAAGCTGAAACACACTGAACTGGCTTATGCGAGTAAAATCAGCCAAAAGACAGGAGCCCAGCTGCACAACAAACATCCAAGCTGAGGGTCACAGAAGGGTCACAGGGACAAGAGGACAGAACTGGGCAAAAGGTCAGGAGGCTGACCCAACCTCTGGCAGGAGCGGGAAAAGAAGGACTGGAACAGAGTGAAGACAGCTCATCGGATCCAGAAGTCCTCTCAGGAATGTTGGAGGGAAACTGACGCTTTGCTACACAGATGATGATTTATGACCTGTGCCCTCATGTAGAATGCTGCATGTAGTGATCTGTGCCCTCATGTAGAATGCTGCATGTATTGATAATGACACCAGATGTCTTGTGTTGAGCTAAAAAGTGTGTATCTGGTAAATGACCCCATGACCTCACTGTCATGAGATAATGATATATGTGACTTTTACCTCGTCTAAACTGGCCCAGGAAGGGTATAAAAGAGCAGCCCTGAGCAGAGCTGGGACACAGAAGTTGGGGCAGACGACAGGAAGAGACAGAGCAGAGCTGGGAGAGAAGAGGTCGGCCTCCGTCCTCTGGACAGAGGCTGACAGAGAAAGAAGTTTGGGGTGATCCACAGAAGACCGAGTTGGTGTAAATCAACTCCTTCTTTCTTAGTTAATCATTAGAACTAATTCCTCCTTGGGGGAAGCAGTTAATTTTATATTTACTCATTTTTGTATTTTTTAATCTTGTAATAAACTTTTTGAAAAAGAATCTACATTCCTGATTCTTAAAGAGTTCCTCTTTGAAGGGGCCAGTGGCAGCCCTGACCATTATTGCACAGAGGTAAGCATATTAATTATAGGTTCCTGAATTATCAGGTTTTACTTTACGGTTTGTGACAGATTAATATAAAGAAACCTTAAGATAAAAAGAGCTTGTCTCCTTCCTCACCCGCGAGTAACGAGATGTCTTAAGGATGATAAAACCAAAACATTAGAGGTTAATTTTGGCTCTGATTCGCAAGTGTGAAAAAGTATCTATCAGCGCTGGAAGGATGGATTAATTAGATAAATTGATAAATCTATGTTAGTCTGATCAATTAACAAGAATCATTTTATAGTTACCAACCATTCACATAAGCTGATAGGGGCGCAAATTAATCCAAATAACCCAAACAATTGCCGGAAGGGATGGCCTCCCGCCGGGCTTCGTCCCTAGTATTTTAACCAAAAAATAACGGGATTGATTAAAAAGAAGTGGGCTATTACAAAGGGACAAGTCTTGCATATCATTTCACCTTTAAAATAGAAGATATGATTCTAACTTAAGAAGTCCAGACCAGGGTCTAGTACAATAATACTCACCGACACCCCCACCGAACCCTGAAAGATGCACAGTCTCATAAGTTCTAACGGAACTGGGTTTTAACGGAACCGACAAATGGGACGTGCACGCGACAGTGGCATTAATTGCACTAATAGAGCGTCCAAGGAGTCTCCACTTCATTTTTTTTTCAGTAAGTAAAATTATATTTATGTATTTTAGGTCACTGCCGAGCTGAGCTTAGATTTTAACATGTACTGTTTAACCATGAAATTTAAATGTAATAGGGTAAAACCCAGTGCATTTAACATAATGCTGCACTTTAGAAAATGGGTTGAAATATAACATGTTGGTGGAGCTGGGCTCCAACTATCGGCTTGTGGAGCTCTCGGGAGACCGATGTTTTCCACCCGGTTCTCCCCTCCCCGCAGCTCGGCGCATCTCTGTCTGATCGCAGCTTCTGACTGCTGAGCGGGCTGACGGCTTGTGGAGCTCTGGGATGGAAACCTTTCCACCCGGTTCTCCCCAGCGGCATCTCAGATCGCAGCGGCGCTTGTCTGCTGTGCGGCTGCCGGCTTGTGGAGGTCTAGGAGACCTCTGTGTTCCACCCGGTTTTACCCAGCGGTCAGCCCGGCGTATCTCTGACTCAGAAGCTCTGGTGTTGTGCACAGTTAAGTCCGGTTGTAGCTAGGTTGCTACCTCCGTTAGCTTAGCTCCCACCTCCGCATTAGCTTTGGGTTCGCTTCAGGTTCGCTTGTAGCTAGTTCGACCAGGTGTCGTCAGTTGATCTCAGCCTTACAGCCCCACTCTCAGCTCCACCTGCACAAGCTTATGGACCTGCTGTTCGACTATGTGGTGGTGGATCCCCTCCCATATCAGGAGTACTCAGACAAAATTCCTTTTCCATAACCTCTCTGTGCCCAGTTCCAAAGACCAGACAAATGGGATGCTGTGAGCAGGCACAGGTCCAGGTTTTAAAGTGCACGTAAGGTGATCTACACAACAAGAAATTGTAATTAAAGCTGCAAGCAGCGTCGTTCGGCCCTCACAGCTCCACGCCGCTCCAGCCTGGCCGGCAGCCCAGGACACCAGGTCACATCCGCGGAACAGAAAAGTCGACCACCCCGACACCAGAAACCGCTATTGGTCACCTCATCCGCACCTCACCCTGACTCAACTTCCCTTCTGAGCCCACCATTATATTACACGTCTCACCACTAGGGCATACTCTATCTTTACCACACTGGTGGTGTGATGACACAGACCAACTTTAATGCTTTTCTGACCACGTTTTTTGAAGTTATAGTTGGTTAAATTTATCTAGGGGGCGTTGTGACCAGCCACAGAAAAATCCCATTGAGGTCAGCTTTGGTTGAAGATGGTTTTCTGTTATTTTGGTTTCAATCAGACATTCTTTCTAGAGCCAGTGAGCTGAAAGGGGTGGAGCTACGGGGATTTGAACAAACAACCACATCAACGTGTTTGGTGCAGTCAAGTGATGACACAAGCCAAGTATAATGCCATTCTGACCTTGTCTTTAGAAGTTGATAAATATTGATGACCCTCCATTCTTTCATAATTTTTCTCTGTACTCTCCGAACACTTGGACTGTCCACTTATACTTGGAGGTGATTTTAATTTTTGGATGAATTCCTTAACAGACAGGCTCAGTACAGCTGGGTCTCAGCGCAATTGGCAATCCACTAATATAGTTAAACAGTACATGAGTGATTATGGGCTTTGTGATGCATGGTGATCTCTTCATCCTAACCGTAGAGAGTATACTTTTTTCTCACACGTCCACAGGGGCGTGTCCAGGGGGTAGCCTGAGGTGGCGCATGCCACCCCTGGAATCTGATTGGCCACCCCAAGTGCCACCCACACTGAGCTCCATTTAACTTGACTCTATATTTTCCACAAACGTTCTGGAATTATAAATCCCAAAAAGGTAAGATGAAGTATGCATATTCAACATTATCTTATTAATTTTATTTTATTATTCTTTATTATCTTGTATTTTTTTTATAAATTGTATTTGTAGTCCTGGTTCATTCCCACTCCATTCCGGTTGGTGGCGGTAATTAGCCAAGAAGTGCTGCTACCTGCTACAGTAGAGTTCTAAGAAGAAGAAGGAGGAAGAGGAGGCCTACAGATTACCCAAAGAAGAAGAGAAGAAGGTTCCTGGAGAAGACAAGCTAGTGGATAAGCGTGGATAACATACATTCAATGAACAATATTTGAACATTTTTCCTTCATGTAAGTGATTTCGTAACATTTGTTTCCTGAAATGTGACTAGACTTTTGCAAGATTTATAGTTAAAAAGTTTTTGGTTTAACTTTAAAGCATTTAACCAGGTTAACTGCAGTTACCATGGCAAGCCATCTTGTCGACAAAAACGATCTAGATTCTAGGCTAGCAGTGTGTCACACCATGGTTAAACCCACCTTTAGACTACTTAAACACAGCTAAAAGCAAAGATAGCACGCGACCCGCATGCACAAAAACAGAAGTGCGACTGCAACGAGCGCACGCTAATCACGGCAGAGGCAACAGGCGACTGCTTTGTTATTGCCTATGGTGTTCAAAGTCACATGTGAGGGAATACTGTAAATCCCCAGAGATGCTAAAGGAGATATTAATTCAGGACATAGGCTCATCCATCTGCAGAACTGGCAGGAAATAATTTGCAGCCGAAGGTTTAAATATGATTCAATCATCAAGTCTGAGATCCAAATGCAGAGAAATAAACAAGTCAGATTATGTTAGTGACAGGAGAAACTCTACAGTAATATTAGAACAATCCAGTGAAAGAAGGTTCATTTAGAAAAATAAAGATATCAACTAATAAAACTTATATTGAGTGATATTTATAACTATATTATAGTAATTTAACATCTCATTTCATTTGACGTCTCCATTCTTCAGTGTTGACTGGAGTAAATGTGATGAGTTAAACCTAACCCAGACCAGTTATCAACAGTTAAGTATTTTTTGAAACATGGTAATTGGCAAAGTTGATGAGTATTTTAAAAGTTGTAAACTATAGTTTAAAAATAACAGAAATTATTCAAACTTTATATATTCCTTTTTTCTAAGCAGAATCTCAGAAAAGCAGCAATACATTTCTGGAGTTTTAAGCCACAACTGGTATTTGTATGATTTATATACATTAATACAGAAAATGACCACAGTAATCATGAAACTATGAATATTTATTCAGATTTTAATTGTATGACCCAAATTTTAAACTGTTGCAACCCTAAACAACATTGGCTAGTACACAGTTACACTTCACTGGTGCTTTTCTGAACACATCTGAAGTAAAGTGAATTGAGTCTGTGAACGGAAATACACTGTTAATGAGTCAGTTGGAATACTTTTCCCCGCCACTTGTGAGATAGCTGAACCCCCACTGCTAATTTTTTTTATGCCAGAAAAATCTTTGGTTGCCTCATTATGCATTATGAACAAGGTGTAACATGACTTGTCTTCCTGTGACTGTTACAGTATGAAAAGAACTCTGAACATTAAGGATTTCTTCAAAAGAAAGAAAGCAGGAACAACAGAGCAGGACAGATCAGCCAGCATTAATGCTAGTAGTCAGTCAGAGAGCCAGCTTGAGGATAGACCACAGCAGAAGCTGCTGTGCATATGGGTAAGTAATGTAACACTGTGATTAACTGCTACATATTTAAAATAATGTTAAAAGTTGATTACTTTTAATTTATTTCAGTGATTTCTATTTTTTACATTGACTGGTTTTTGTTTGCTCTTCTTTGTTTACAGGTTGTTTTTTTTTACAGTTGTTTAACTGAATATTAATGGAGTCTTAGTGTGCTGCTTTTCTGTACTCTAAAATAGCAGATTGTATTATGATATTTCCTATTTCTATGGTGTTTTTTAAGAGTTGGACAAAGACTCTGGAGATGAAGGCTGTTCAACTTTACCTGCGACTCCGGAGTATGGTATGCACAAGTGAACACATTTTTAGCCTTGTAGTTCCTCTTTAGCTAAAGTTATTACATTTGATTGATACCACTGTCATTTTAGGGGTATCAAGTCAGCCACATTCAGACCATGAAACTGACACTGAGGACAAACCACCAGAAGTACCTATAAGCCCTGAGGTTTCCCATGAGGAAAGTGATGTTGCAGCCTCTTGTGCTCCACGTGGACCTCATGGTATGTTTTAATGCATTTTTTACATCAATACATTGCAGTATATGCAATACACAATTAATTGATTAAAACACAGTTTTTTTTGTTTGAGACTATGCTGATTGTGAGGCATTAACTATTTCAGATATTTCACAATCAAGAGCAGCAGGTCCCACTCAACCTCAGCTGAAGATTTTTCCTAAAACGGTCTTTGGTGAGAGGAAGAGATCATTCAATTCTTCATGGTATGATCAGCATTCATGGCTTGAATACTCTGCAAGCAAAGATTCAGCCTACTGTTATGCCTGCAGACACTTCTCCCTGCCTAGTGCATCAGAATCAGTTTTTACATCAGAGTCTGGATTTTCACATTGGAAAAAGGCTATGTTCAAAGATGGTGGTTTCAAGTTGCATGAGAAATCTGAGTCACACATTACTGCCATGTTGGCTTGGAGTCAACAAAAGAGAGCTGTACTAACAGATTCATCCATAATGGATATGATGAACCAAGAATACAGAAAAAAGTGGAAGAGAATTGTAGTTACATTAAAACAATTGCAGATGTACTGCTTTTGACAGCAACACAGAATATGGCACAGAGAGGTCACAGTGAATCCAAGTCTGACAACAGAGGGAATGTTTTAGAAATTCTTGAAGTCATTGCAAAACACAATCCTGTAGTAGCCAGAAAAATGAAAGGACCTGGTAATGCTAAATATACTAGCAATACGATCCAGAATGAAATCTTGCAGTGTTTAGCAGACATGGTGCGTGATACCATTGTGAAGAAAGTGAAGAAGAGTGAGGTATTTTCAGTGATTGCTGATGAAAACAAAGATCTGCAAAAGAAGGAGCAGCTGTCATTAGTTGTAAGATACTACTACAATGGTGCAGTGCATGAAAGCTTTCTTTGTTTTCAACATGCCGAACAACTGGATGCTAAGAGCCTGAGTGAAATGATCATTGGATGTTTGGAGAGCTATGGCCTTGAAGTCAAATCTCATTGGGCAAGGCTATGATGGAGCCACAGTTATGAGTGGCAAACACTCTGGTGTTGCTGCAAGGATAAAAGAAAAGGCAAACAATGCTTTTTATGTCCATTGCAATGCACACAGTCTAAACCTGGTTTTGGTTGACAATGTAAAATCAGTTCCAGAGGCTGATTCCTTTTTCTCCCTTCTTGAGAGGCTTTATGTGTTCATGTCAGGATCCTATGTGCACAAGAGATGGCCGGATGTTCAGAAGGAAATGTATGGTGGCCAGCCCAGGGAGTTGGTAAAGCTCAGTGACACAAGATGGGCATGTAGAGCTTTGGCTTGTAGGAACTTAATGGATAGGTTACCTGCTGTGTTACGTGCTCTTCAGGACATAAGCACAGAAAATCATAGAGACGGATCTATTGATGCTCGAGGTTTGCTTGCACAGATTGATCTAACCTTTATTAGCCTTCTTGCTACCTTCCGAAAGTTGTTCGGAAACACAAAGCTGCTTTCTGACTTATTGCAGTCAACTTCTGTTGATTTAGCTATGGCAGTAGACATGGTTAACTCCCTTTGTGATTCATTTCAGGTGTACAGGACTGACACATACTGTGATCAACTATGGCGTGACATAATGGAGACTGCCAAACAGTGCAATGTAGCTGTTGACGATGGTGAGAGAAAGAGGTTGCAAAAAATAAACTCTAGGCTAGGTGGCTCTTTTGTGACATGCACTTTAGGCCTGCGAGAGGGTAATGATGACAAAGAAACATTCAGACAGAGACTACTCTATCCCATTCTTGACAGAATAACGTGTGAAATGGACAGAAGGTTTTCAAAGAACAGCTGCACAATAATGAAAGGTGCACATGCCTTACATCCTAAATGTAGTCAATTCCTTCAAGATAACCTGGTACTTGACTTGGGTAAAATGTATGGATGTGATTGTGAAGATCTTAGCCATGAACTTCACCAGGCTAGGAACATTTTGAAAAGAAAAAGTCATAGTAAGGATACACAGTTATCAAGCATTGTAGACTTGACTCTATTTTTAGAGCAACACCAAGAAGTGTTCCATGAGTTGTTCAGGCTGTGCAAAATAGCTGTGGCTCTTCCAGTTAGTAGTGCTGCCTGTGAGCGTAGCTTTTCAACTCTGAAGCTCATCAAAAATCACTTAAGGACAACAATGGGAGACAGCAGGCTAAGTCATTTGGGAGTGCTTAGTATTGAGTCAAGAAGAGCCAAGACATTGGACCTGGATGAATTCATTAAAGTGTTTGCAAGGCAACACAAGAACAGACGGATTAATCTGTTGTGAAACCATATTTGAATCATTTGAGGGTACAAGCACATAATCTGATTTGTGTTTAGGAATACTTTTTTTTTAACTGTAAATGATTTGATGACTGTACTGAAACTTGATGTTAAAGTATGATCGTCCTTGTATAATTTTTATTTGTACCTATTGTATGGAGTTTAACTAAGGCCTTCGTCCAGGCTAATTTATCTGATTTATGTTGGCACTTTATGATATTACAATCTTTTGTACTGTTCCTTTATGAACAGTTAACTAAAGAATAAATAGGTTTCACTTTACCCAGTGTGTTGTTTTATATGTGTTTGTATTGGTTGATTATTTTATGTCTTTGAACACAAGAATGGTAATTTTGGTGGCCTTAAATTAATACAGTTTATTTAGTTTTATTTAAACAATATCAAAACATAATAGGCAATTTAAAATAGATACAGAAGGTGGAGACAAACAATGGTCATGGAACAAAGTGGAGTTTACAAATTCTACAATGCAAAAAAAAAACCTTTTGATTTGGTGATGGGTGAAACCCCCCCATCTAAATAAGTACAACTATTGGTGCCACCCATGCAAAAACAAGTGCCCTACCTGGGCCACCCCATCTTATAAGGCCTGGACACGCCACTGCATAGATAGCGTCTCAAGTCTTCCTCCTGAAGTCCATCGTCGGTCAGTTAGGAGCAAACAACATCTTGCACTCAGACTCGCCTCCACCAGATGGAGATTCTGAACTGACACACACACACTAACACTTCAGCATTACATTCATCTGCACTACACTACACTACACTGCACTACATTCATCATTAGAGAATTAGTCCTGGTGATTGTTTCAAATAATTATAAAAATAAATATTCTTAAACGTCCCATCTCTCTCTCTTCTTGTCTCTAATTCAATACAAGGTGTTTGAATAAAATTCCCTGTAGTAAAAACAACCTCTTTTGATTCTAAGGGCCAGGTCCAAAGATTATTGATCCAGCTCAGGTTTGGATCAGTGATATCTCTGGACCTTAATAAAAGTGTAAGAATATTCCAGTTATATTCCGCTACAGTGGCATTAACAGAGGGGTGCCGGCGGTCAGGGCTAGGGGGCCCCCCAACACAAGGGGGCCCCAGGCGGCCGCCTACCTATGCCTAATGGTAAAACCGCCTCTGCCTTCTCCCACCATATACTTCAGTTTAGTTTCTTCTCTTCTGTTATGTCTAACGTCTGATCAGTTTTTATTACTATGTATTCCCACATATGCTTTTACTAACTTTTCTGCCTGATGTGTATTTTCAACAGCAATATTGTCACCTACATTAAGTACAGGATATCTAAACCCATTATAGACGCCTGTCATCTTTCTTATCATTCCAAACTTCACTTAATAATGTCATCCTCCCAATTTTATCACAGAATCTAACCCAATTTTCTATTTTTGCACCTTTAATCACTCTTCTTGCTTTCGCCCGTAATCTTTTATAGTTCATTAGAGTCTCAAAAGTATGCGTCTTTTTCAACAACTTCAAACTTTTATTCCTCTCTTTAATTACGTTGTCACAGTTTTCGTTCCACCATGGTACATTTTTCTTTTTCATGGTTCCTTTACTCTTTGGTATAGACACCTCAGCCGCTTCAAGTAATCATTTCCTAAAAGTTTTTTCCACCAATTCTATATCTCCATTCATATCAAACTTACACAGTCGTTGTCACATATTTCTCTAAATTTAATCCAATCTGCAGTATTAAATAACCATCTGCCTTCCCAGTTTTCCAACCTTTCTTCACCTCCAAAAATTTCTGTAAAGATTAAACAATGGTCACTCCCAAAATTATTTTCTTTAACATCCCAGGTACGCTTTCCTGCCAGTTCATTCGATACCAACGTCAAGTCTATAGCAGAGGTTTTGCCTGTGTGTATATTTAATCTCGTTCCTCTCCCATAATTTAAACAGACCAAATTACTATCATCCATTAAACCTTCAATTATTTCCCCATTTTTATCTTCCTTAGAACCTCCCTATACTTTACTATGCGAATTAAAGTCTCCACATAATATCAAATGATTAGACGCATCCTGAATAATCAGTTTGAGTTTATCAACATCTAAAACTTTGCACGGATTATAATAATTAACCACATATATTGTTTCATTATTCACGTAAATTTCTATTCCAATACAGTTGTGGTCAGAAGTGTACATACACTTGTAAAAAATATAATATAATGGCTCTACTGAGTGTCCCGTTATTTCTAAAACTCTGATTTTTCTCTGATAGAGTGATTGGAACAGATACTTCTTTGTCACAAAAAACATTCATGAAGTTTGGTTCTTTAATGTCTTTACTATGGGTTAACAGAGAAAAGTGATCACATTTGCTGGGTCACAAATATACATACAGCAGTGCTAATATTTGGTTACATGTCCCTTAGCCATTTTCACTTCAATTAGGCGCTTTTGGTAGCCATCCACAAGCTTCTGGCAAGCTTCTGGTTGAATCTTTGACCACTCCTTTTGACAGAATTGGTGAAGTTCAGTTAAATTTGACGGCTTTCTGACATGGACTTGTTTCTTCAGCACTGTCCACATGTTTTCAATGGGGTTTAAGTCAGGACTTTGGGAAGGCCATTCTAAAACCCTTATTCTAGCCTGATTTAGCCATTCCTTTACCACTTTTGATGTGTGTTTGGGGTCATTGTCCTGTTGGAACACCCAACTGCGCCCAAGACCCAACCTTCGTGCTGATGATTTTAGGTTATGTTGAAGAATGTGATGATTTTAGGTTATGTTGAAGAATGTGAAGGTAATCCTCCTTCTTCATTATCCCATTTACTCTCTGTAAAGCACCAGTTCCATTGGCAGCAAAACAGCCCCACAGCATAATATTCCCACCACCATGCTTGACTGTAGGCATGGTGTTCTTGGGGTTAAAGGCCTCACCTTTTCTCCTCCAAACATATTGCTGGGCATTGTGGCCAAAAAGCTCGATTTTTGTTTCGTCTGACCATAGAACTTTCCTCCAGAAGGTCTTATCTTTGTCCATGTTATCAGCAGCAAACTTCAGTCAAGCCTTAAGGTGCCGCTTTTGGAGCAAGGGCTTCCTTCTTGCACGGCAGCCTCTCAGTCCATGGAGATGCAAAACACGTTTGACTGTGGACAATGACACCTGTGTTCCAGCAGCTTCTAATTCTTGGCAGATCTGCTTTTTGGTTATTCTTGGTTCACTCTTTACCCTCCTGACCAATTTTCTCTCAGCAGCAGGTGATAGCTTGCGTTTTCTTCCTGATCTTGGCAGTGATGAAACAGTGCCATGCACCTTATACTTACAAACAATTGTTTGCACTGTTGCTCTTGGAACCTGCAGCTGCTTTGAAATGGCCCCAAGTGACTTTCCTGACTTGTTCAAGTCAATAATTTGCTTTTTCAGATCCATGCTGAGCTCCTTTGACTTTCCCATTGTAGCGTTTGTGGGCGTTTGTATCCAATGAGCCCTGTTTACCTGGCCTAAGAGAAGTCACCAGCTGTAGTCACTCATAATCCCTCACAAGAAGTTAAGAGGCCATGCTATGAAGCTCAGTTCACTGACACATTTCTAAGTCACCAAAATTGCTAGTTCATGTTGCTGTATGTATATTTGTGACCCAGCAAATGTGATCACTTTTCTCTGTTAACCCATAATAAAGACATTAAAGAACCAAACTTCATGAATGTTTTTTGTGACAAAGAAGTATCTGTTCCAATCACTCTATCAGAGAAAAATCAGAGTTTTAGAAATAACGGACACTCAGTAGAGCCATTATATTATATTTTTTTACAAATGTATGTAAACTTCTGACCACAACTGTATATTCGTCTTCCTGCCCAATTTTAATTAGTCTATAGTTAATTTTATGATTAATAAAGGTCGCACAACCCCCTCCAATACCTTCTTCTCTATCTCGTCTAACTATTGTATACGGAAATAATTTAAAATCTAAGTTCCTTGATATCCAGATGATTAATTGCTGCTTTCTCTATAATTTGAATTCTTTCGGTTTTTGATTTCGATTCCATAGTAGCATTTATCACCCCCGCAATAAAGGTCACCAGTTTCTTAACATCGATTCATAGTTTTCCCTCATTCTCCACTGTTTTTGGCCCCTCTTGAACTCTATTCACATTTAGTCTTTCCGGTACCTCCCCTACCCTTTTCAAAGCTTCAGCATACAAGATTTTGTTTTTAGTTTGCTGAACCTCCATCTCTCTCCTCATCACCTGACACCCTGCATAGGCTGCACCGTGATTCTCCCCACAATTACAACACCTTGGTTGCGATTTATTTGTACACACCTCAAATTTGTGCTCTTCCCCACATCTGGGACATCTTTCCTCTACACACAGTCGCCGTGTGTCCAAATCTCTAACATTTGTAGCATCTGAGCGGTTGCAGTATGTACTCCTGTACCGTATAAGACATGCAACCCAGAAAGACTCTATAGGGAAGATCGTGTTCTTGGAACTCAATTAATACAGAGTCTTATTCCTTCTTCTGCCCATCTCTGAACTCCGTGAATCTCCTTGCACTCTTCACATTTCCTCCTTTTAGATTTGTTTTTATTTCCTCAATAGTTACATTCACAGGAATTCCCCATGTAACCCATTTTGGTCCTTGCCCACCCATTCCCACTTTGCTCACACTAACAACCTTATGTTTTCCCACTTCTTTCATCTTACTAGTTTTATCTCTCTGATCCTCAGTTCTACAAACGATTAGCATATTTCCGTCCCTCAGCACTTTAGCCAGTTTAATGTCCCCAATTAGGTTATTCAAAATGGAAGTCAGCTTGACTGGACTCACCTTTACCACTCCATCTCCCTCATTGAACTTCAGAATGATCTTAAACTCACAGTCTTCTACCTCTAGAGGTCACCTAAACATCAACCCGACTCTGTTTCCTTATTTCTTCAGAATAGTTTAGTCTTTTCCCCTTCCCCAAATCCTGAACAAAACTCATCTCCATCCTCATGCTATCATCGTTTTCACACTCTCCCATTTCTCCCCATTCCTTCTCATTCACCACAGCCGTGTCTACCCTCCCTTGACTTTACTGCTTTCTTTTTCGCCATTCCATTCAACCGGATCCCTTGTCTTGTTTCCATCCGCGGTCAACCGGCCATCCAGCCAAAATCCGCTTCCCCGGTCAGGACTTCAAAGTAAACGTCCAATTTAAGCTCTTTACTTCATGTTAACCCTACAGGTGAAACTCGAAAGACGAGAATCTGGAGCAAAAACGCATCAGTGTCAGTAATACAGCCTAAAAGGTGAAACGATGAGACAGATTCATTCCACGCAAAAAACAAACAGCACACTATCAGCTGCTCCCCAACTGCAGGCAGAACAGGAAGTCTCTTATAAGCCACTCAGCAGCTGATTGCTGTATGATTCCCAGCTGGTCCCAGGTGATGGTGGAGGAACCAGGAACAAAGTCAATTGAATCCCTGGGCTGCAGGCTGAAGAATATGGAGAGCTGGGCTATACACTCAGACAAACAAACAAAACAAACGTAAGTACAGAGACTTTTCTAAATGCATAAAACCAGGGATCGTAACACACAGTCAAAATGGGTGGAACCAGAGATCCAACAGGATGTGAAAATCTCTATTGTCCTGCCCTTTTTTGATGAAACTTATGCTATAAAGGAGAGACTGCTGACTATTGCTACAGCAGAATCAGGTGATGCTTAAACTCTCACACAGACACTGATCTCAGAAATAAGAAAAGCTGGCCTGACAATGGACAAAATAATCAGCCAGGTGTCTGATGGAGCCTCTCTGATGTCAGGAAAACTGGGTGGGGTTGAAGCTCTCCTGCAAGATGAACTTGGCAGAGAAATCCCATATGTGCACTGCTTTAATTACCAGCTTCACTTGGTAATAGTTCATGTCATGTCTGCTGAGAGAGCTATTGAAGATCCATTCAGTGTCTGCAATCAGGGCCGGCTTTGCCGACAGGCGGCCGCCTGGGGGCGTCATCTGATGGATAGGGCGCAAAAAAAAGTTTATTAAATTTATGTTTGTAATATGAAATGCACTCTCTACATACTCAAAATTCCACTCTGAAATGACAGGAAATTAAAACATCAATATTTAAATTCTAATGATCTGGCTGCATGACGAGCTCCCGCTTGGGCCACCGCTCTGATGCATTTGACCGTTAAGGGTGCCGTATATCACGTGCGTGGGCAGCGCTGTAGAAGGACTTCCTGTTGTCGTCGCGTTTAAACTTTTGATATTTTACGATGAAAAGAACACCTAAGCCATCGGGATCAGCATTCCCAAAGCGAAGGAAGGAGGAAGAAAAAAACGGGCCCAAAGCAGAGGTATGTAGACTTTATAAATTTGGCAAAGGAACTTTTTGCGTTACCATTTTAGCTAACTGCCTCTCCTGCCACACACGGTCCACGGACGGACCCTCGCTAGCTTCCTTTTCAGTCGTTGATGCATTCATCCGACAATCATTTACAAAGCTGATGGATAAAGACTTCAGCTGCACTGTGACTTTATACTTTATACGTCTGCCTCAGGCTTGAAGAGCTGCTCTCATACATTCCTCTTACAAACCCTCATTCAAGACCAATTAGCTCAGAGTCTGCCCAGCATGAATACAGCTTTTGCTTTTATCTAAATCTTACTGGTCACTGGATGGTGCAACTGATGCAGTGTTCCTAAAAAAGCCATAATAAGAGTAGGACATACATTTGAAATTAGTGTTTTTTATTTTCAATAATTTACTAATATCAAGAACACAAATTTAAGAAATATCAATCACAAGAAGAAATATTGCATGCACTTGGGGCACAATAAAAATTATTTAAAAGAAAAGGAAAATATATTCTTCCACAGTAAAGGTGCACAATATTTAGCAAGAATCACAGTGATACTCTACCTCTCGCTACTGCAGCAGAAAAAGACTAACAAAGAGTGGCTAGTTTTACAGTTGAAGCATGATTCTTCATTAGCACAGACTACAGGTAGTGTGTTACAATAGTGTCATCTTGGAAAAATATTTTACAAAAAAAGTATGCTTCCAGTTTTCCCTTCATCTGGAACAGTATGTAAGTAAACATTAAAAGCCTCGGCGTTGTTCAGGCAAGTCTGCGCCTTAGATGATAGTACTACACACAAAAATGTACAGACAGTAGGATAGCATTAGATGATCGCTTACTCCACACAAATAATTTGATGTATAATTATATCAAGTATTACAAGTTTGGATCATGATCTCAGTTTTTTTTTTTTTTTTTTTTTAGCAAAACTATGGAAGTAGTAATCTGTAATCACAGCAGGCACAGCAGTTTGGAAAGAGAGACAAAACACAAAACATGCACAAATTCAGCAACACAGAAAAACTAAATACACAAAATCAGTGTCTTAAATTAGATTACATAGCTGAAATTCTTTTAGAGTGTATACACAATCTTGGCACAGATATTACAAATATTTAGAATAAATCTGGTGGGGGGAAAAATCTGTGAAATTGTAAAATTATAATCTTGTACCACTGAGTTCATTAATGAGTAGAGCTTCTGCTTGGTTTAAGTTTCTCAGAAATGCTTGTTGGTTAGTTTAAGCTTAGATGCTAAACGATCCAGATAATTGTGTCTATATTTTGTTTAACTCTTCCACTGTCCTATCCGGTGACCCCTCCAGGACTCGGGGTGTTTAAACCTGGTTGGTAGTTTATGTAGCGTAAGAGTGAAGTGGTGCACTCCTAAAAAAAATAAATTAAAAGCACCCAGGGCCCATCTGACCACATTAGCAATATTGGAGGGTTAAAATGCTTTTACTCAGCCATAGTAACTACTTATTACATTTTTAGGAAAGGAAATATGACAATTTATTATTTAAACACAAAATTGACACTTGTGCCTATTTTTCTTTCTAGACGAAGGGTACAGAAGCCCACATAGGCTTGTTTTGAAAGGGTAAAAGAAAGAAACAATGGGGAGCCTAAGTCACACCCATCTACTTCCGGGCCATGGGTTCTCAGAAGTACAAACAAATGAATGCACGTCAATGGGGCTACAAAAGCTATTTTCTAATCCTGTTAGGTGCCATGCATCTCACATATGTCGTCTGTGAATTCACATTCGCGAGACACATTCTGATGTCAAGAAGGTGCTTATTTTTGGTTTTATGTGGAAAGACGTGTAGGACTACAAATGTGCATCACCAAAATGATCTCATCGAACAAGACTGGGAGAAGTGCAGAAGAAAAATGGCTGTATGTTTAATGAGCCTCAAATCCTTTTTTCATAGTAAGTACTAAAAGTATTTTTTGAATTGAATTGTAAGAATATCTATAAATCTTGCCATGAGGTAAGTAAAAGCTATGCTGGGGGACAGGAGATTCTTTGGGAACGTCACATATGCAACATATAACCAGACAGCTGATTTATAGTCATAGTAATTACAAATATTTAAAAGCTGATAAATCTCAAAAAGACTGGCATGGTTGAAACACACATCATTACTTTTTATTTAAATTGAAGTGCAAAATATGTGCAATTCAGGGCTTAAGGCAGGGGTGCCCAATCCCGGCCCTGAAGGTCCAGCAGGTTGTGGTTTTTCAGTGGTTGAATCACCTGTGCAGCATCTCATCAAGCTCTACAGAAGCCTGCTAATCACCTGCTGATTGAAATCAGGTGTGTTGAAGCAGGGTTAACTCATTCACTCCCAGTCGTTTCCTGATCAGAAAAGCCTTTCGCTGCCAGCGTTTTTCAGCGTTTTCACAGTTTTTTTTTTTGAGTCACAGAATGTTGCACTCTGTGATGATGTCAATGCCAAAACTAACAAAACAAAGAGTAGACTCATTTCTTACATCAGGATGAATCCGCGAGTTTCAAGTCAATTTAATTCAATTCAGAAATACTTTATTATTCCCAGAGGGAAATTGATTGCTGTAGTAGCTCAGAATAATAATAATAATCAAGTCATCAAAGAGTTGTTGTATATTACAATGGCTGTTGGCAGGAAGGATCTCCAGTAGCGGTCAGTGTTGCAGCCAAACTGAAGAAGCCTCTGACTGAAGACACTCTTCCATTGACGGACAGTCTTGTGAAGAGAATGCTCAGGGTTGTCCATCATTTTCCTGATTCTCTGGAGAATCCTTCTTTGCATTATCTCCTCCAGCGGTTCCACAGTCATCCCCAGAACAGAACCAGCCTTTTTTATTAGGCTGTTGAGCCTTTTCAGGTCCCTGCTTCTGATGCTGCTACCCCAACAGACGATGGCTGAAGAGATTACACTCTCAACAACAGACTTGTAGAAGATCTGCAGCATCTTGCTACAGACACTGAAGGACCTAAGCATCCTCAAGAAGTGCAGTCTGCTGTGTCCCTTCTTGTAAACGGCTTCGCTGTTCTTTCTCCAGTCCAGTCTGTTGTCCAGGTGAACTCCAAGGTATTTGTATTCCTCAACCACCTCCACTTCTTCTCCCATGATGGAAACAGTGTTTGACTCCACCCTGTTTCTTCTGAAGTCTAAAATCATCTCCTTTGTTTTGTTCACGTTCAAGGTCAGATGATTGTTTCCACACCATGCCACAAAGCGCTCCACCAGCTCTCTGTACTCAGCTTCCTGTCCATCTCTGACACACCTGACAACTGCAGAGTCATCTGAGTATTTCTGTAGATGACAGGTCTCTGATTTGTACTGGAAGTCTGAGGTGTACAGCGTTATCCGTTCTTTCACAATATGCAGATGAAGATCGGCTTTAGAGCTGGGATGTTTGTTCTCACTGTGCGGGGGGCTCGTTCTGATGCCCACACAGTAAAGTTGTCATTTGCAGTGAACAGTTGGATTTAAAATGACGACTTTTGTCGTCAATGGCAGTTAATGAGTTAAAACTAAAACCTGCTTGATACCGGCCCTCCAGGTCCGGGATTGGGCACCCCTGGCTTTAGACAAAGTGGATTGGAAAATAGCTCTTTTAGCCCCATTTACTTGCATTTATTTGTCGTTCTTCTGGGGACCCATGAACCAACCTAAAAGGGAGGAAGACATAGGCTCCCCATTTGAAGTCTTTAGATTTTTTTTTCTTTCAACCTCAAAAATGATTTAAAATTACATTAAGCAGTTTTCTGCTCATCTGCCATACTGATCAAAAGTGGAATCACAACTGACGTAAACAAACAAGTCATAAACAAGCTAACTCTAACATGAGCCAACTAATATTAAAATTTGCCATAAAGTAAAAAGATCCACACCGATGAAAATAAAACATTATTACAAGTCCAGTTGTAACAAAGCCATGCCACCATAAGCCTATGATTTTGTAGCCTCCTTTAGCTCCTTCAAGCTAGAGTGTAGGCCATGCCGATGTTCACTTTGGTTTAGCGCTTTGCTTCACCTCTAAAGACTAACTCACTTACTTTTACTTCCAGGCTCCGCCATGATGCCAACAGAAATAAACCTTTACTTCTTGTGCTTTTTATTGATGGTCTGCAAACTGAAAATGCTAATTTATAGTTTAACAGCTAACAGCCGTAAAACACATAAAAGCCCCCCCTATAGGGCACCTACTCACAGAACAAAATTGTTCAGTGCGGTTTCTGGTCAGCAGAGGGCCACATATTGCTGTTCAGGGTGAAGTTGGTAGAATTTCTACTCACATGGTCGCTTAAACCCACTTTTGAAGGAATAGCTCAAAGTTTTAAAACAGTTTAGTGTTATGTGAGGGATTTATCTCCTCACTAATAGTTATGTCTCTTGTTTCTGTTCACTCCTGTATTTCTGTGTGTGTTTTAGGTCAAATAAGCTTGGTAATCTATAAATTACTTTAAGTTAAGTTGATTTATTGGTGTTCATCACTCCTTTCCTTCTGAGGTCATTTGTTTAAGAGTTGCCATGGAAGCGCGCCCATAGGCAGCCATGATCAGTTCCTGGTGTGCTTAATCAGCTCTACTGGGGGGGATCTTGTGTTTGTTTAAGTGTAGTTGTTGTGGTTTTTGTTCTTTTGAGTTAAGGTAGGAGGTAAATATGTAAATAGATTGTTTGAAATATTTTGTTGAGATGTACTTTATTGATTGTAGGATTTCAAGTTATTTGTTTCCCCTGCCAATGTCATAATGGCTGGTTCTAAGTTAGCTTTAATAGGGTGGATTTGGCACTGTTGTTTTTGTTGGTTGATTGCTTGTTAAGGGGAATCCATGCCCCAATGTCATGGATTGTTTGCATTCAAAAAAAAAGGATAAAAAGTCAGAGCTCTGCAACATCCTGGACTCTTGTTTTTTCTTCTGTTGACAAACATCTGGTAACATCCTGAGTGAGTGACAAGGCAGAGGCTCTGTCTGGGCCAAAACCTTACATTTACTTTTAGATATATCTTCAGAATTTTTGTTGGTTTTTCAGGGCTTCCATACTAGTGAATCTGTGAGCGATTTAAAAGATGTTTGACAGTCCCTTGCAATCAGACAGGAATGTACCAGCTAATGATGACTTTGTAAAAACAGATAAACTGTTTTCCACTTCTCTTACCAAGACAAACTCAAAGACACCTTTCTTACAAAAACTTACACACATACACTCACACTCACATTGGGAAGGGAAGTTGCAAAAATTTTGATCTTAGTACTCATTTAATAAAAATACAAATAACGTGATAGAATGTTTTCCTTTACATGGGTCTACCCTCACTGGGCTTATTCACCTTCTTTTCATACGTCCCTCTATGTTTGTATCCTGAGACATAGCCTGATGTGTCCACTACGTCCACTCGGCCGGCCTTCCCCTTCCCGCGGCCAGTTTCGTCAAAGCGTTCCTTGTGTGAGCCTGTAAACTTGCTGGTGTCTGTGAGACGGCTCACCGTCGGAGAGGCAACAGCTCTCTGTTGGGAAGTTTGCATAACATTTGATTTGCAGCTGCATTTGCTGGGAAAACGCATTTTACTTTTTGATTCAAACAGATCAGCTCTTACTGTGACTCCTGCAATAACCGGTGCCTTGCCTTCGATCAGCTTGAAGACCTCTGCTTCGGCTTCCTCTCCAGTCTTGTCTTTATATTTCTTCCTAGCCAACTCTCCCAGTGCTGCTCTAAATTCATCATACGTGATGGTGCGACAGGATTTCTTCCTGAAAAACAAAAGGAGAAATTAGCTTATGTATTGGATAGTACGTGTACTTGTAGAGCAAAAAACCTGAAAAGATCCACCTGCAGCAGTTCTGGGGTTGATGTAAAGGTTATCCGCAATTTATAGCCTATATTTCCCAACCTGAGGTTGGGAAAATTGTATTGTTCAATAAACAAATGGATGACTAAGCAGGGTCGGTCATCTTAAATGCACACTTGGCAGTTTTGCTTGCTTTTAGCCGTTATTAATTCTCTGTGGTCAAATCTAAAATGAAACCTGTCTTTACTGTGTGTTTGTCTTTTTAACACATTAATCTAACTGCGGTAATTTCTCCTTATAAGAGTTTTATATCTGGTACAGCTCGGCCTGCATTGCATGTATTGTTTAGCCAGGGGCCTCCTGGGTGGCCTGGAACTTTTCCCTATTACAGATGAACGATTAATTGCACATGCAATTAAACTGCGATGTGAAAAAAGGAGATTTTCTAATCGCAAAGGCTGCAATTTGGCTGGTAGCGAGTGATTAGCACAATGCTAATATACATGGAAAAACCCATAGGAATGCTAATTTCACAGATTACATTCTTAGAAATTACGAATTAAGAATATGCCTAATGATTACATTTGGAGTCTAATAAAAACTAAAAACTGCCATCAATCAAATCAGTACAGACAGATGCTTTAGTAAAGCTAGAAAACCAAAAGAGACTTTAATCCCACTGAGTTTTGGCTAGCAGCTATGGATGTAACTGAACAATGGAAGCTCTGCATGGACAATACGTCAAAAACTCTAAACACAAAAGACTTCAATAAATGGGACACATTTCTTTCCTGCAAATAAATTTTCAGTTGATGTCATATGCTCCTTCAAGGGATGTACTCCTAGCTGCAAAGGATTGCACCTTCAAATACAAAATGTTGTCTTTACTTGAGTGTTTATGTATATGTAGACAAATAAAAGTAGATAGATATGATAAACTTGTTTATATTCAGTACAAGTTAGATAAAAAATTTTTGCTTCCGTTAGTTGAAAAATATGAGAAAACCCCCTTGAGAAAATTGATGTGAATTAAATCGCAATTGCTACATTGAAGAAAATAAATTGCAATTAGATTACTTTCCAGAATCGTTCAGCCCTATTACCTACCTGCAGGGCTTTTTTTTTAGGCCTTTGCCTTGCCCACGTGCTCAGAGATTTCCCTGTTCCTGAGAAGTGTGTGTGAACAAACTAGGGATGAGTCGGATACTCGTTTCAGACGAGTATCCGGTACGGATAAAGCATTTTTGACGAATACGAACGTGAAACGAGTAAACCTCGTAAATATCTGTAATTGTGTTGAAAGAAAATCCTCATTGGGTAACTGACTGTCTTCACACTCTGTGATTGGCCAGTCACATAGAGCACCCGCCCCTCCCTACACACAAAACTCTCTAGCCGACAGGGAGCGCAGTCCGTCCGGCTCATCCTCGTGCACACACAGACAGTAACGGATCTCGCTGTGATTGCTTCACTGTTGCTCACGTTTCTTCAGTGCTCCCTAGGTTTTCTTCAGCTCGCCTCTTTTTCGGTTGACTATTTAAAGTTACTTTTTTCATAACTTACATGGTGCATTTGACAAGACAGAGCTGACGTGCTGCATCAGTCACTACCTCCGCTCCGGTTGTTTTTTTTAAATTTTTTTTAACTCTCTCTCTCTCCCTCTCTATCACACACACACACACACACACACACACACACACACACACACACACATACACACACACCTCAATCAACATTGTTTTGTTTAACTTTGTGTGGGAAAATGCCAAGAACGTTAAGAAAAAAATTAGTTTAATCAAATTAAAATTAAAAAATATATATAAAGTTGTGTCTGGTTCTAGCATTTCATATTTCCTAGTTCCTACTGCATGATAGGGATGAGCCGGATACTCGTTTCAGACGAGTATCCGGTACGGATAACGCATTTTTGACAAATACGAGCATGAAACGAGTAAAACGAGTCATTATCTGTAATCGTGCTGAAGGAAAATCTTCATTGGGTAACTGACTCTCTTCACGCTCTGTGATTGGCCAGTCACATAGAGCGCCCGCCCCTCCCTACTTACAAAACTCTCTAGCCGACCGGGAGCGCAGTCCGGCCGGCTCATCCACGCACACACACAGACAGTAACGGATCGTGCTGTGATGGCTTCACTGTTTCTCACGTTTCTTCAGTTTTCCCTAGGTTTTCTTCAGCTCGCCTCTTTTTTGGTTGAATATTTAAAGTTACTTTTTTCGTAAATGACATGGTGCATTTGACAAGACAGAGCTGACGTGCTGTACCTCCGCTCCGGTCGGGTTTTTTAATTTTTTTTTCTCTCTCTCTCTCTCTCTCTCTCTCTCTCTCTCTCTCTCTCTCACACACACACACACACACACACACACACACACACACACATGCACACACACATTAATCAACATTTATTTGTTTAACTTTGTGTGGGAAAATGCCAAGAACGTTAAGAAAAAAATCAGTTTAATCAAATTAAAATAAAAAAAATATATAGAAAGTTGTGTTTGGTTCTAGCATTTCATATTTCCTAGTTCCAACTGCATGAGTTCAGATGTATTAATCCATGCACTCAAATATTAATGTTCTGATTTTATTGAAACACTTGTTCTGTAATAGTTTCTGTACTATTGTGATCAAAAATATTTAATCTCAATTCTGAGGCTGCTCTGTAAATAGTTTTCAAATAAACAATACACATAGCAACTTCTGATCAATCCATATAAATTTTTAGACTTAAAATAATACATTGATGTAAACCACGTCCACTTCCGGTTAAACCACGCCCAGTTCCGGGTTAGGCCACGCCCATTCCGAGTACAGATACAGATACAGATAATTTAGTTGGTTGAACAGATACAGATACAGATACAGATAGTGGTGTACTCGCTCATCCCTACTGCATGAGTTCAGATGTATTAATCCATGCACTTAAATATTAATGTTCTGATTTTATTGAAAAACTTGTTCTGTAATAGTTCCTTTACTATTGTGATCAAAAACATTTAATCTCTATTCTGAGGCTGCTCTGTAAATAGTTTTCAAATAAACAATACACATATCAACTTCTGATCAATCCATGTCAATTTCAGACTTAAAATAATATATTGATGTAAACCACACCCACTTCCGGTTAAACCACACCCACTTCCGGGTTATACCACGCCCATTCTGAGTACAGATACAGATAATTTAGTTGGTTGAACAGATACAGATACAGATAGTGGTGCACTCGCTCATCCCTAGGAACAGCCCTACCATTTGGTTTTTAGTGAAAATGGAAACTCATTTTGATCCCAGACTGAAAGTCCCTTTTAGCGGTCTGATAACAGGCCCGTCAAGCTGTGGGAAAACTTTTTTTGTAAAAAGTATTTTGGAAAATTATCTGAAATGTATGACTGAAATGCCAAGTAATATCATCTGTTTTTTCTACTTCTTATCAGAAAATGTATGATGATCTGAAACTTTGTAATAAAAATATTAGATTTTTTCAAGGTCTCCCTTCTTCATTCGATGACTATGAAATGTTTCCGCCTGAGCAATGTCATTTGATTATTTTTGATGACCTGATGGTCCAGACTGCCGAACATCCGGAAGTGTTAAAATAATTTACTCAGTTCAGACATCATCGTATTATGAGTGTTTTTTACTCACACAAAATGTCTTTCATCAAGGGAAAAATAATAGATCAATCAGTCTAAATACTAATTATTTTATTTTGCTTAAAAATCCACGAGATAAATAGCAAAAAAATGTTTTGGCAAATCAAATCCACCCTACTCAGAAAAGATATTTTCTGGAGAGTTTCTAAGACTCAACACAGGACCCTCACGGTTATTTAATAGTAGATTTGAAACCGGAAACACCAGAACTTCTAAGGCTGCGTAGCGGAGCACTTCCGGGTCAGATGACGGTTGTCTATTTGCCTAAAATAGAGCAATGTCGGCCAGGATAAAACGCAACACCAGGATTCTCAAAGCTTTGTCTCGCATGAAACTACAGAAACGTCAGGAGTTTTTAAAAGGCCGTTCGCCTGATGTTCTGAACGCTCTGTGCAAGATTGCTTTAAATGTGCTGAAAGGGAACATTCGGCTCTGTCCAGTATAAGAAATTATCTAAAAACAAAACGCTCCTGCGGAAGTTGGCTGGTAACAAAACTAGCTCTTTTAAAAAGAAAAAGCTTTTAATCAGTCAAAAAGGTTGATTTCTGCAGATTCTCCTAGCAGCTGCAGCCCCTCTAATAGGAGAACTCATTGGGGGGTTGATAAACAAATAGGTTATGGCTTCTCAAAAAATGTTCATGGTTACGCCTCAACAATTACGACATCTCACAAAGCCCACGATCAGAGACGTGGCAGAAGAGAATCTTGACTCAGATATGGAATTAATTATGCAGGAGATGGGACTAACGCCGTATGAGAAAATTAAGAAATACAACACACTGTTACAGCCTCATCTCGCTCTCATGAGAGGTGGATTACAAGAGGATTCGCAGATTGTCCCCCCACCGAACAGAACACTGAATCATCTGATGCCGCTGATGGTGCCGTGCCAACTGATCAAACTGAAGCTGTCATTCGAGACGCACTGCAGAGTTTACCGGCACGCATCAGGAGAAACGCAGAGTATCTGCTGAAGATGACACAATTAAATTGGGGTCCAACCATCAACATTAATATATGGACAATGGGTTTCCATAGACTCCAATAATAAGTTTTTGTGCTAAAATGGGAGGTGGCCACCACCGCCATTTTGACCGTGTTACAGGTTCCGTCAAGCCCAGACAATTCCATAAAAGGGAAGAGAGGATGAGCTGAGGGTGGGGCTGTAAGGCTGGGATCAACTGACGACACCCGGTCGAACTAGCTACAAGCGAACCTGAACCTAACCCAAAGCTAATGCGGAGGTGGGAGCTAAGCTAACAGAGGTAGCAACCTAGCTACAACCGGAGT